TTTTTTGCTTTGTATTTGCGTTTTTTGCGATTTTTTTGCATTTTTTTGTGCGTTTCCTTGAGAAAACGCAAAAAAATCGACAAAAAACGCACAAAAAAAACAAAAGAATGCAAAACAAAACGCACAAAAAATGCAAAAAAAATGCAAAAAAATCGCACAAAAAAGGGTGGTGTGTGAAATTTGGTTGTGCATGTGCATTTTTTTTGCATTTTTTTTGCTTTTTTTGAACTGCTGTTCTGCTTTTTTTTGCTTTTTTTTTGCTTTTTTTCTGGCTTCCTTTTGCATTTTTTTTGCTTTTTGATATGCACTCTTTTTGACCAGCTGCCTTTTTTTTGCTTTTTTTATGCATTTCTTTTGCATTTCCTGGTCATCCTTTGTGAGTGTGGTTTTGCCTTTTTTTTTGCTTTTTTATGAATCCTTGAGATTTCAGAGTTAGGCTGTAAGGTACATCATAACGCTTGCCAAGCATTAGACAGAGTATGAAAGCTCTTTGAAAGCTTTGGAGTTGGAACGTAAAGACGTCATATGAGCATGTTCTTGTCAATCACTTTCCCTACTCAGCACTTGAATGCTCTGAGGCTGTTTGCAGCAGTTTGCCTTCTGGTCAAGGAGCGCCAATGAAAATACTTGGGACCGGCACCAACAGCTAAAGCCCAAATAACGCCAGAGTTCACATGTATGCTGAATGTCGCAATACTTGCGCAACAATCCCCAGTATTTTTACGTGCTCCGATTACAAGCATCGAACTGCTATGAACATGATATTATATTTAAGGGGCTTATGCCCAACAGCGGGCCAGTAGGGTGTTCAGCGGCAGGCGGTAGGGGAAAGCAGGTGATTGTTGTTGTAGGGGTTGTGGTCGTGGTGGTTGTTGTTGTGGCTGCTTTGTTGTTATTGTTGTTGTTGTGGTTTGTCAGTAGTGGGCCGACTCAAACCAGCTTGTTCGAACGCCCAACTGTCAACACTGCAGCCCTCACCTTTTGTGTTGACTACACCAGACGAGAAAGAACCCCTATTCTGTAACAACACACCTTGGACTTGGGACCAAGGCTCAGCAATCAGGCTCAACGAAGGACCTGTCATGCGAATAAGCGGCGCACTCAACCCAAGAATCACCAGTAGGCCAGGCAGTAGCCACCAATGGCAGCGCATCAGCTGCAGGAGGCGGCACAGTCAACAGCCGCTGACATGGGACGTGGGAGAGGGAACCGGGGGGCACAGACCTATTCTATTCAGACCTTGGCTGAGAAAGGCACCACCACCACAACAACAACAACACCAGCAGCAGCAGCAGCAGCCGCAGCAGCAGCCGCAGCAGCAGCAGCAGCAGCCGCAGCAGCAGCAGCAGCCGCAGCAGCCGCAGCAGCCGCCGCAGCCGCAGCCGCAGCCGCAGCCGCAGCGGCAGCGGCAGCGGCAGCGGCAGCGGCAGCGGCAGCGGCAGC